TAGGGAGCAAACATTGGTGATCTTATTTATGCATTTTGTATTTTTGTCTATATTTTAGTCATATCAAAGAAATCTTGTCAAGTTAATATTGGAAAAGAGGGACTGGGAGAATATTTGTTATGAATATATATAACAATTTTTGTAAGTGGACTTGAGTATAATACGGAATACATTTCTTTAAATAAAATTATATTTATGTTCTGAAAATAGGTTTCATTCACGACTAAAATTAGTGGTTTTATCCGCTTTTATTTGTATTTTAACACTAAATAAATCTTAATTACTCTCGTATTTAATAAATAAAACATTAATCATACATGTGCACTTGAATCGTATTGTACTTATGATGGGCAATTTCTTTATATATAAATACATGTGAGACTGGTTCAAAGAAGAGAAATTGATCTAAATAGGAATAAAAAGTTGTGAAAATTTCAAAATATGAGTGCTATGTTTTTTTCTTCCAGAAATAGGAGTCGGTATTTTCAAGATTGAAAAATACTGTCACATTGAAAAATATAGGCATTAGTGATAGTAAATGTTGTTGTGCTTAATGTCTAATACTGCAACTATTTGACAGTAATAACTACAAGATGACAGTGAATACTACGTAGTATCATATTGCTTCTATTTTGGGAACAAAAACATAATAATAAATCTTATTTTGGAATCGGGAAACATGTTTACTCCTATTTAGTAAACAACCATAGTTATTGCCTAGACTAGATGTAAAACACATGCCGATAAGTTGATTATTACGGAGTAATTTGTACTCCTACACACTATTGTGACGTTATCATCACTAAAATAATGTTTATTATGTTTAGCTTTACAGCCATTAGAGTAGTGATTATGATAATTGCACCATTAAGCCCGACAAGGCTAGTCCCCGAGGCTGTGCTTATTTTGTCTCACTACCCGTTGCTATGATGCCTCCACCTGAGATGCAAACTTAGCTTGTAATAACATTTGTTAGGAGAACCAGCCATACAATTATAGCAAAGATAAATAGAAATTAAATCACTTTTCTTAATGCATGTGACTGGATTTGTTTGTAAATAAAAGTTTAGTTTCACGTGGTGCATCCAAAAGTTCGTACATTATTTATATGTTGCAAATTTCTTATATGGGTACCGTGAGAACATGGGGGACATGAGAGTAGTAGGCCCGACCTATCCCAACTTGACATTCATTATTTACACTCCTATTAATCATCATCATCACTTCAATGCAACAATGGCTCCCACCAGGTAAGGTGGAATCAGTCTTACCTCTATACCAAAGCACAGAGAGTGTTTCTGAAGGACCCGTGGTCAAAATCGCGTAAAAAATTGCATGAATTGATTACTGCTTCACAACAAAGAATCGCAGACAGTTCAGTAATCCATTTTGCCTTATTTCATCATATTCTCAAGCGTAGTTCTCACGGCTCATGACGATCGCCATGGCTCAAAGACATTTTCCATTGTGCATGACGATGGCGCATATAGGAATGGCGCATATGGTGCATATGACGCTATGGTGATGACTACTTTTAATATACTACCTATTTTTTATATTTATATACTACGTATATTATACCAAATAGTATTTTTTCAATTGGATTGAAATTTTATATAATTTCAATGACTGATTAGTGGTGGACTCGGGTCGGGTCGGGCCTGGGCCTATTAAAGAATTTTTTTTATATAATTTATATTTTATAGTTTATAGTTTTATACAAGTATTAAAAATAAACTTCAAGTGCATTTATTTGAAATGAAATAGGAACTAAATTTGAAAATTAAAACAAACTTCAAGAGACAAACATTTTGTAAATTGTATTCAATCGGAACTTCCCGCACCTCCCGATCCTTTGGCTTTGTCACATGACTTCATATGCTTCATTGTCATCCCGTATCCACCTGAAACCCCCATGCTACATTTTTTCCCGCACCATTTACAAGTTGCATACCACATCCCGGTCTTCGGGTCCTTCTGCTTATCAAAATTATACCGTATAACGGCATCTTGATTTTCCATCTTAAGTATAAAGTAGGTATATAAATAATAAATTAGTAGAGAATAGAGATTAGAGAGTAGGAATATGTGGAGAAGATGTGTAGTAAATTGTATAGAAAAAATGGAGTATTTATAGTTTTTTTGTACCCCTACCCCCCTCCCACCCCCCACCCCCCACCCCCTAACCCACCCCTTGATCCCAGGAAGGCTCCCAACGGCTATATAGCCGTTTGGGTTCAATCACAACGGCTCTAAGGGCCTGTTTGGTAGCCAAAAGCAAAAAAAAATTAAAAATATAGTTGTTGGCCCGAACCGGCCGGGCCGGGCCTTCCTTTTTGTGAACCGTGCCCGAACCGCTAGCCTCCCCCGGGCCGGGTAAAAGCCCGCGCCGCCCATTCCGTAACCGGGCCGGGCCAGGCCGGGCCCGCACAGTGGCGGGTCGAGCCGGTTCAGGGTCGGGCCGACCCGGTTTGGTCCATCCCTAGGACTGATACGCTAAAATGTGAACGGTTGTGATATATCTATTATTCTATGTATTTTATTTTTATTTGTAGTTTGATTTGGTCTAAGCAAGTCCAAATATTCTGAGCATGGATACTACTTGTTCTTAAAGAAAACTCTCGACGTTACACTTAGTTAGGCATAGACTCGGGCTGGTACGGACCGGGCTTCGGACCGGGCCTGACTGGGCTTTTTTCTGGATTCTTGAGGCCCGGAACCGGCCCGCGTAGCTATCGGGTTCGGGCCGGGCCGGGCCGGCAACCAATTTTTTTTTATTTTCTAATTACTTCCTACCCCCCTCCACCCCCACCCACACCCCAAACCCCTCCAAAACATCCAGCCCAACCCATTTACATCCCAAAGTTTTTGAAAAACAAAAAAATGCTCGACCGGGTCGGTTTATTTTTTGAGACCTAGAGCCCGCCTTGAAACAGTACCGGGCCAGGTAGCCCGAATCGGGCATGGACCCGGTATCAGTCCGGGCCGGGCTGATTCAATACCGGGCCTTGCCGAAACAGTACTGGGCTGGGCCGGTTACGGACCGGTTGACCCGGTCCAAGTCCATCCCTACACTTAGTGTTGAAACCTGGCCCAAGTCCATCGCTACACTTAGTGTTGAGATAATTGTATCGCCGTTTTTATAATGTGATTCTTTAACACAGTAATAAATAAAACATGCTACCCATGAGAGTACTGCGTATGTTTTAATGCATGTGAGATGGCGTTAAAAAATGACTCCATTTTGAGATGGGGAAAACTTTTTTTACTCCATTCATTGCTTAATTATGTGATTCTTGACATAAATTCATCGGGAAATTACCCAAAATAGGAGTAAGTGAGGTTTGGAATTTCAAAATAGGACTACAATATTTTTCTTACCGAAATAGGAGTTGTTACTGCTATGTATGAAAAATACTGCCATGATTGAAAAATACTGTCATTAATTATAATTGATACTGTCATGTTAAATGCACTGTACTACAACTATTTGACAATCACGCCTATTTCGAGAATAAAAACATAGTAGTCTTATTTTGGAATTTCAAACTCCATTTACTCCCATTTTGGGAAATCTCCCAAATTCACCCCATCTCAGATTCTCAATTGTAATAACGACAGTAATGCATTGCTCTACTGAAAAAACATACTTCCGTCTCATAATTATGTGGTTCTTGGCATAAAACATCCTTGATATAATCTGTTTCACAGTAATTATGTGATTCTTGGCATAGTTGTGGTTGATATATTTAAATATATTAAAGTGAAATGTTGGTGTTTCACTTTACTTTGATATTTCTTTTCAGAAAAGAAGGAAATTTTATCAAATCGGGAAATGAAAAATAAATTCCCTTGCCAATGGGCAATGGCCACCTTGTCTCGACTCTCGAGTGATTGTAATTTGTAAAGGTCATGAAGTCTATGAATTTTGACCAAAAGTGGATTTCTCTTATTGGGGAATGTGTTACCATAAATACGGAGGAAAGCTATATAAATTGTATACTTTATGGAGGGAGGCTTCCTCTTCTTCCATAGGGATGGACTCGGGCCGGGTGGCCCGACCCGGAACCGACCCGAGACCGGTACTATTCCGGCCCGGCCCGACCCGGTGGCCCGGTCAGTGACCGGTCCGGGTAGGCCCGGCCCGTGAGTTTTCCGGTCCGGGCTCGGATGACCCAAAACAAGGCCCGACCCGGCCGGACCCGGTTCGGGCCAAAATCTTTTTTTTTTCAATTTTTTTAAATTTTCGGGTTGGGGTGGGTATTTTGGGCCATTTGGGGTGGTTTGGGGGGTTGGGGGTGGGAGGGGGGTTAATTAGGAAGAGGAAAACAAAAAACAAAATGATAATGGGCCCGGCCCGGCCCGGACCCTGACCGAACCCGGTGGTTACCCGGGCCGGTCCCGGGTCCAACATTTCTGAACCGCCGGCCCGCCCGGACCTAGGCCCGGACCTGAGTCCATCCCTAGCATGGACCGGTTCCGGTTCAAGCCCGATTCGGGCCTGGGCCCGGCCGGGCCTCAATTCAAGAAGGGGAGGCCCGAAACCGGCCCGGGTATCCCCTGGGTCCGAGCCAGGCTGGGCCGGGCTGGGCCTCGGTTCTATTTTTTTTTTTTTTTTTTTTTGGCTTTTCATAGTTAACTCCCAACCCTCCCCCTCACCCCCAAACCAACCCTAACCACCTCAAATGGCCCAAAATACCCAACCCAACCCAAAAACTTAAAAAAAATCAAAAAAAAAATGGCCCGGCCCGGGCCCGAACCAGCCGGGCCAGTTCACCTTTTGAAGGGCCCGAGCCCGAACCGCCATCCCACCGGACCAGTTGGCCCGAACCAGTCCAGGAACCGGTTCACCGGGCCGGGCCGGGGCCGCACAGTAGCGGGCCGGTCCGGTTCCGGGCCGGTTGGCCCGGCCGGAGTCCACCCCTGTTCTTCCAAAACACTAATTTTCGGTTTTCTGAAGTGAAAGGCGGAAAAGAACTTTTTTAAACAATCTCAAAACACTGCGTAAAGAAGATGGTAATTATAATTAAACAGCAAACCTATTTCCAACCAAAAGAAGTTACAGTGAGGATGAAATGAATATATCCATACATAAATACGCGATGTTTTAATGAGAGCATAATATACACCCATGTCCAAATGGGTCATTGTCTCATTCAGCTACCTTTTTAACTCTATTAACTGAGCAACTTAGTGCACACAAAATATATAATAGTTCGCCCATGCTCTAGAGACAAACAATGGTAACACTATTCCAACTTGTGAGGAAGGGGAAAAGGTCAACTCACCCCAACTTGCGTTATCTCTTCACTTTCTTCATATGTCTGTGTGCATTCGTTTCTTCATCACCCATCATCCTTCCATTGTCAGTCTGCACTTGTTCCACGGGCCTCTCACTTCCTCTTGTTTTAGCAGCACAGTTAGTTATAGTACATAATTTGAGCAATTTAATATTGTGAATTGATAAAATCGTAAAATCAAAAAAATCCCCCATCCCAGAATAATGTTCCCATTCACTATCCCTTTTCAACCTAACCCCTTTTTAATATTAACTTTTACCATATTCAAATTAGGTTTTTGCAGTTGAATATAATTATAGTTTAGTCTCTCAAAATGTAAGTTTTAATTGTTAACTAAGTAGTTAAATTGGTACTCGGTAGCAACTCGGTCAAGGGCCGAGTAGCGAGTAGGACCTACTACTCGGGATTACTCGGTAACTACTCGGTCCTATATTAATTAATTTTGAAAATATAAATATACAAAATTATAGTAATATATTATTCTTAAAATTTTTAGAAATGAAAAAAGACCTAATGAAGAAGAAATGAGAAAGAAGATAGAGCCATGTAGGAGAATAACTTACTTAGAGATGAGGGGAATCACCGCTGGAATGAGCAAATGTTTGAAATACTTTTAAACCTAGACTTTTTAAGGTTTATTTCCAATTTTTAAAATACCCACTCTTTATTTAGAAATTCCATAATATCCCTCTTTAATTAAAACTTTTCAGATTTAACAAAAACAATTTTTTATGCCTGGCCGAGTAACTCGCTGAGTTGATAACTTTCCCGAGTTGAGAAACTCGCCGAGTACTCTGAGTAACTCGGAAATATTATACGGACCGAGTCAAGTAGCTAATCGGCAAGGTCATCACCCGAGTTGGCGAGTACTCGCTGAGTACTCGCCGAATACTCACCGAGTAGATAACCCAGATTGTTGGTACTGATTTAAATATTATTAGTGGTGAGTCAACCTTACCAACAGTCAAACATTAGAAACGCAAACAAACTTCGCAAACGGAAACATGAACTTAATATATGGAACCCATGGAGTATACAGCAGTAACGATGTCTACCTATCTATCATCTCTGCTGTATTTTGTTCCAACCAAGCAACACTTCCAGTTCCAGCTAGATTCAATGATCCGCATATGTGTAGTATCTCTTCATCAAAACTGCAAGAAGTGTTTATTCATCATAAGATAAATATAATAGAAGGGTGAACAAAGACAGCATACCCAAGCCACCCTTTTGCAACCATTCCAGCAGATCATTTTCATGTGAAGTCGAATATTGGGCTGGTTGAACATCAATTTCCATTGGGAGTGAGTGAAAGGACACAAAATTTGGCAAGCCCATTAAGTTATATAAAGATCACAAAGCTAATTAAACGCAATTCATGTTATTTATCTTTTTATACCTACAACAAACCTGAGAAGACTGTTTATGTATTAGTATATGGGGATGACACTTATTCATAGTACAAAAATATATGAGTGACATATTAGTGCAAAGTGCTGATCTTGGTTGGCTGTGATGGATGTGCAAGCCTTCTCCAACTCTGATTGGGTTAGAAGTCTGTAATGTCTGATGGCTGTTTACTTGTGACTTAATGAGCTTAAACGGGACAGGGACTTAATTGGAAAAAAGACTGTTTAATATAGACAAAAAAAATTGCTTAACCATTAGCTATACAAAGTATTACTTATCCTTATTAAGACAACTATACAGCAAATGTTTTACAACATGTTAAGGAATACATGTGAGTTGATAAGTGACATTTCCCATTGACAAAGCAACCCGAACATAACCATGATTCAGCCAATTCACAGTTGTTATAACACACAAAATAAAGAATCTCTTAAAACAAAGATCACTTAATTTAGACAGAACTTAATAAATAAATCAAAAGTAAGCAAGCTATTACATAAAATGGCAAATACTACTCAAAATCTCATGTGGACTTTAACATGAAGGTATGATCCGTATTAAACAAACTTCGAGACTAGTGGTAGATGAGTATGAAGAGTTGAAAGTAGAAGAAAAGTAGTACTCAAAAGTAGTTGAAGAAGCAAGGTTGAAAGGCTGTCATCACAGATTCTGTAGTTTGCTGTCTAGATTTTTGAGCCGTGACTCTAATATTGAAGAAGCAGAATAGATACGACTAACAACGATTTTTAAGAGTGTTGGGAGCCTGGGAGGCTGGGATGGGTTTTAATGGGGTTATTTTTTATTCTAAAAAGCCTCGTTTAACCTTTTATAAAACCAAAATTTCCTGAAAAAATCTCTAATCATAAAGCAGACAACTCAGAAATTCAATAGCACCATGCAATAGGGGCCGCTATTTCTGCTACTGTCATATGCTCCGCTAGAGATACTCTAGTGGCGCCCAGTTGACTTCACTAGCACATATCAGAATGGTTCTTTGTTATGAGACGGGAAATCCCAGATCCATGCTTCTTCAACCTTACGTAGTTACGTTGCACGATTGCACCACTAGCCTTTCAATCTCAATAGATTGAAAATAGATACGACTAACAACGATATTTAAGGCCCTGTTTGGTTGGAGGGTTTCGGAGGGAAGGGAAGGAAAGTGGGGGACTTGTGTGTGTTTGGTTGAAGAAAATAGGGGGGAAGGGGAGGAAAGTGGAAGGCTTTTAAAATCCTTCACTTCCTCCCATTCTAAACCTCCCAAATCGGGGTATTTCGGAGGAAACGTGTTGATAACCACAAACTATACATCTCCCACGTGAATGAACAAAATGTTATAATATAAAAAGGTAAAAAATAAAATTTTTGAAAAATTAAAAAATTAAAAAAATAAAAAATTTAAAAATTTAAAGATTAAAAAATTTAACAATTAAAAATTTTAAAAATTAAAAATTATGAATTAAAAATTTAAAAAATTAAAAATAAAAAAACTTAAAAAATAAAAATAAAAATTAAAAATTCCAAACTGAAAAATGAAAAATTATAAAATTAAAAAAGTAAAAAATCAAATTAAATAAAATTATGACTTATGACCATAGGAGTAATATTCACAATAGTTAGTCATGTATCTATTTTTTAAGTAAGCTATCAAATAAAAGTAAATTGCGAAAATATTTTCATTAAACATTTCCTCCTATTTCCTCCAAGCAAACACAAATTTTTATCAAAATCCTTCCTTCCCCTTCCCTTCCCTCCTTGACTCTCCCCTCCCCTCCCCTCCTTTGAACCAAACAAGGCCTAAGAGTGTTGGGAGCCCGGGAGGCTGGGATGGGTTTTAATGGGGTTATTTTTTATTCTAAAAAGCCTCGTTTACCCTTTTAAAAATATAAAACCAAAATTTCCTGAAAAATTCTCTAATCAGAAAGCAGACAACTCAGAAATTCAATAGCACCACGCAATAGGGGCCGCTATTTCTGCTACTGTCATATGCTCCGCTACAGATACTCTAGTGGCGCCCAGTTGACTTCACTAGCACATATCAGAATGATTCTTTGTTATGAGACGGGAAATCCCAGATCCATGCTTGTTCAACCTTACGTAGTTACGTTGCACGATTGCACCACTAGCCTTTCAATCTCATTTATGAACACTCTGTTTGGTTCAAAGGAGGGGAGAGAAGGGGAGACCCAAAGAGAGATTAGGGGAAGGAAGGGTTTTGATGAACATTTGCGATTGGTTGGAGGAAAAGGGAGAAAAGTTTGATAGAATGAATTTCTCAATTTACCCCTAGTTGAGAGCTTGTTTTGCAAAGCTAGATAAGTATAAAGAATCTAAATATTACTACCCGAGTTCATAAGTATAAATATAAATTTTTAAGTTTTAAATTTTTTAATTTTATAATTTTCGAAGATTTTAATCTTTTAAGATTCCAATTTTAATTCTTTACTTTTAATTATTTAATTTTTATTTTTATGATTTTAAACTTTCGAACTTTTTCATATTTTAAATTTTTTACTTTTTTAAAAAAAAAATTAAGTTTTGTAATTGTAAATTTTATATTTTTAACTTTTATATTTTTTATTTTTGAATTTCTAAATTTTTAAAATTTTCGATTTTCAATTTTCAGTTTTTCAGTTATACAGTTTTTCAGTTTTTCAGTTTTTCAGTGTCCCAATTTTTCCAATTCATCCCGGTTTTTCAGTTTCTCATTTAAATTTTTCGACATTTCAGTTTTTCAATTTTTAGTTTTTCAATTTTTTAAAAGAATTTTCAATTTTTTAATTTCCGTTAATAACAAGTTTCCTTCGAAATACCCTGATTTGGGGAATTGAGAAAGAGAGGAAGCGGAGGATTTCGGAAGTTATCGACTTTCCTCCCATTCCCTTCTACTTCTTTCAACCAAACACACACAAATCCTTCAATCACCTCCCCTCCCCTTCAAAATCCTACAACCAAACAGGCCGAAAGGTTGCAACACTATCTTATCAACTACTACCACTATAACACATATATCTTCCCGTGTAAAAGTAGGTGGGATTAAGAATAGTGAAGGAGAATATAAATTATTGAGGATATGATGGGATGTTAATGAAATAGTGTTCTAGAATGAAGGATAACTCCAAAAAAATAGTTATTATTATTTTCAAAATTATTGAGGGTATGATGAGAAGATTTAGAAATGGGAAGATATGAATGTTAAAGACGGAAAAAGGAAAGTGGGAAGATATGAATGTTACGGAGGGAGTACTAACTATTCAAGGCCCTTGTAAAGCACAAGTTTTCCTATTCAGGTCTCTAGTATAGTACTACCTCCGTCCCAAAATTATGTTCCCATTCACTATTTACTTGGTCAACTTCAATCACTCTTGATCATTAATTTATATATCAAATTTTTATCAAATTTGAATTTTCTTTTTGGGACTTTGTAGAATTTTTAATGTTGTTTCACAGGTTCTTTTTTACCATGCTTGGCTGCTCCAATTTCTAACATTTAGATAATTTGCAGTCCCATAGCTTCTAGTATAGACTGAAAAGTGCATGTAAACTCACAACCTGAATAATCACATGTCCTTTGTTAACTTGTGTTAATTATGCTAAAAAAATATTCAATAAAATGGTTACAACAGCTTTAAAATGAGTTAGAACACTATTTAGTTCAATACTTCATTCACCCAAGTACCCAACTTATTACTCCCTCCGCCCTACTATAATTGTCACATTTTTCCTTTTATGTCCCTCCCACTAAGGTTGTCTCATACCATATTTGGTAATATTTGTGTAGTTCTAACTCATTTTTACTTCATTCCCACTTTACCAAATAATACCAACCACATAACTCTAATTTTCTTAAAAATTGCAGTACCGCACCACCCTCTCTTGTCCTAACCTTAGGGGGTGGAGGTAGTATACAACTTTCAGAATCATTAAGTGGTCAAGTTCAATAAAAAAAATTGCACTTGTAGAGAGAGTTATAGAGTTCATTCAAGTCTTCCCCAATTTATATGTGCTTGTCAGGGTTGTCATGGGTGGTCGATGGCTATGCAAGGCTTGGCTATCATAGGAATAATTGAATATAAAATGTTCAAAAATATAATACAATTTATAGTATATGAATTACCAATTTTTATATTAATTGATTTCAAAAAAGAGATTAACATCCATTTCCAATAAAATGAACTACAAAGAAGTTGGCAAAAAATGCAATCTTAAAATATAAAAAGGTGTAGTGATGTGAGATATTTTATGCGACTGCTATCTTAAAAAATGCAAAAAAAAACATAAATATGTGAAGACATTTTGTCGTACCAGATTTCTCAGAATAAATAAAAATCTAGCGCTTAACTTTCACAACAACATTAACAACATCCAAGCCTTAGCCCCAAGAGAGTTTGGGGTTGGCTAACATGAATCGACACATCAAATTGGAGCTAAAAAGACAAGAAAGATAAGAAAGATAAAAGGATAAGATGAGATTACAAAATGAGATAAAGATAAAAATGATAAGATAAAGAGAATAAAAAAAATAAAAAGGATAAAAGGATAAAGAACATAAGAAACATAAAGAAAATAAAAAGATAAAAGGATAGAAATGATGAAAAGAGAGTTATGAACCTTGCATGTTGCAAAAAAGTCACATTGTGAACCTTTTTTAATCTGGATGGTAACAAGGAGAGAGTTATGAGCCTTGTATTAAACATCTTAGCTAAAGTTCAATGTATTAAAGTTACAAATGCAGGGCATGGAAATTTTAAAGTGCAATTACTTAGAAGTTTAAAGGTGCACTTTGTTTAACTTTAAAATTGGATTAAAGTTAAAGAACAAAATTGCATTATGTTTGCGTAGAAAGTAAGAGTGTGTAGTCCACATGAGTGTTTTCACCAAGTTATACCCACACTAATTCGGGCAAGTCAAAACACATACCGCAAGAGCTAAAAAATGAGAAACACATCCCACAAAACAATTACAAAAATCCATTTACCTCTTCACTGAGAAACGTACAATTGTTCCAACTTTAATCTTATGTCTCTTGTGAGATTTGCTAACAAACACTTCCTCTCTGTGTTTCTGCGAAAATAAACGCGTTAGAAAACAAAAATAGTCACTAACTTAGGATATGAATTACAGTGAAGAGGAATTTCAGGTTGCTTACAATCTTATATTTGAATTTCCCATGCATGTCATCGTCTGATATAATAGCAGATGAAAATCCAAGAACAATTATGTGAATTGACTGTGGACAAACTTTCACTACCTCTCCTTCTGGTAAACCACATTGGTAATTATAAGTTAATACCAGAACATAAGTTATGCGGTATTGCAGCCAAGAACGTGAATCTAAGGAAGGGATAGATAAAATCAGGACCACCTAAAAGCATATTCAGCTTTGGAGAAAACAGCAACAGCTGTGCTTGAAATCTCACACCAAAATATGGGTGAATCCCTGGTAGAATCTTTGCAAGCTTACTATCAAACTTTGTTTTGTAGGACAGTACAACACCATCTAAAGCTTCATCAAACCTTTGCAAGAGGAAAAAAATGTGAAAGAAAATCACTTAAGATATGTTGGTTGAAAGGAAGAGAGTAAGTGTTTTTGTGTCTTTGTTTTGTTTTGCTAGTGAGGGTAAAGATTCTAAATGTGCGTTGTTTCCTTTCCAAAACTCATTATAGATATAAGGAGAGGAGGGAGAACTTTGGCTCCTCTCCTCTACCTCCAAATATTCTTAACGAATTGAGGGCAGGGGAGCCTTTTCCATCCATCTCCCCTCTTGTACCTTCAACCCAAACTCAACACACTAAGCACCCAATACTCCTTCCATATTGAAATGTTTGCTACAATAAGATCTAGCACAATGTTTAAGGGAAAAGTAGTAGGGGTAATGAAATATTGTACAAAAAGTAGGAGAGGGGGAAGAAAAGTATGAAACAGAAGATAAAAAGTACTACCTCCGTCCCGTTGGAAGGTTCCCATAGCAAAACGGCACGGCTATTTAGGCAATAATTAAATAAACTACTTCGAGTATATTTTGAGAAATGATTTTAATAGGTATATATTATAGTGTAGTTAGTATTGATAACTGTGATGTTATAAATGTATTATTTTTAATATTTAATGATTAATTTGTCACTTAAGATTGTTAATTGTTTCCTAAAATGGAAATGGGAACCTTCTAACGGGACGTCCAAAAAAGGAAAGTGGGAACCTTCTAATGGGACGGAGGGAGGTAGAAAAAGTAAGGGTAATGAGTATTTTTAAGACCAAAAGGGGAAAGTGTAGCAAAGATTAAAATACATCCCAAAAAGGAAAGTGTAGCACACATTTCAATACAGAGGTTGTAATAATAATAATATAATAATGATAAGGCATGATAAGCCAATGCCAAAAACATCAATAAAATTCCAAACTTGCAAAGAACACCAAAAACCTTCCCCTTCAATTGAAGACCACACTAATTAAAAGTCCAAAATAAACAGGAAACTATGTGGCATATAGACACACATAAACACAAGGTTAGGAGATCAAACTGTGGAAGGAAAGGTGAGGGTGGAATACTTGAAGAGCATGGAGCTTAGTTCATGATAGACAGCATCCTTGACATTCATGGACTTTGATGGGTGCACATATACCACAAGATTTGCCTCGCTTTGTTTCAGACCATCCATAGAAACCCTTTCAGCAATTATGCACCTGGAATCAATGTTATCAATAGCGGATAGCAGATTATGGTCGAAAGGGTAAAAACTGCTGTATAAATACAGGTAATAGCCCTACAGTAAATAGTGAAAACAAATGGATTAGGTAAAATGAATATTATACATAGTAATAATAGTTAAATATCATACTAGATGGTAGTAAAGTATTCAAATAGATCCTAGTAACATAACTTGATAGTAAACCACCAATCTGTGAAGTTTGGTGACCCTGTTTTTCGTCTTATTAGCCTTACTAGTCAACTTTTTCACCAAACACGTAACTTTTACACACAGAATTGTGTAATAATAAAAATAAGTAAGGTTGGAGTAACATTTCTTGCTGAATCGGCTGAACTTACTATAGACGGTACAGGACCATTTTAGTTATTTTTATACTACCTCCGTCCCATAATACTTGGCCAACTTTCCTTTTTTGGTCGTCCCAAAATACTTTGACATTTCCATTTAAAGTAACAAATATGTGGCTAAAGTTATTTCTCTCTCCTATGCACCAATATCAACCACACAGTTTTTACTTTATTTATCTACGTGCAAGTCAACATTGGCTAAGTATTATGGGACGGAGGGAGTATTACATTTTCTTTATTTTATTAATAAAATATAATTTAAATATAATTTTTTCATAAATGAGCAGATCAGCCAATCCAACCACTTTAGCCAAAGCTTCATAAATTTCAGCAGAATAAGTTGATTCAGCCAACTTCAATTCTACCAAACGCGCTCTTAATAAACTTAAGAATAAGCCAAAACAGTAAGGTAGTACAAAAGCTTAATACGAAAGGTCTTAAAAATAAAAGTTGCTACACCTCGCAATATTTCAGTATAGAACATCATGTCTAGAAAAAATAGTGATCATACTCAACATAGAACCACATGATCGGGAGCCAAAATCAGTGATGGATCTAGCCCTTAACTTTTGGGTGTTAGAAACTAAATTAAAATTAAAATTATCACACTTCTAATTTAAAAATTATTTCAATGATTTTAATAATCAACATAAGTAAGGTTGGAGTATTTTTCAAGTTGAATTGGCTTAAGTTACTGTAGATGACCATTTTAAGTATTTTTCATAAAATTTGTTCTTTGTTTTATTCATAAAATATATTTTAAATATAAATTTTTCATACTTCAACCGATTCAGTCGCATCGGCCAAAAATCCATCAATTTCAGAAGGACCATCTCATTCAACCAATTTCAGTGTTACCGGCCAAACAGACTCTTAATGTAACTGTACTTAGTCAAAGCAATCGAAGTAACTAACATGCAATGATACTTTATATTCTTATTAAATGTAAATTGAATACCTAGAACAAAAAAATCAAATAGTACACAGCAAATAATAGTTTCACAGAAAATTGCTGGTTTTGCAACTCGAGAAATCCTCACACTAAAAAATCAGATTGTCGGTTTTAGGGAGCAATCTTTCTGAACTCAAAGAAAAAACACATCAAACTTTGTGCTCAAAGCAGCCATGCGTTGAGCACAAAGTGAACTATTCTTTCGCCTTTTACTAAAAAAAAAAAACTGAACTTAAAAATATAACAAAAATGCAACTGAAAGTAAAATATATATCTGAAGTAGGAATTTGAAAGACCAAAGCAGGGCAGAGGCGCACTGTGGTCTGTGGCAGAGAATTGCACGTTGCAGACTAATAGAAGAAGAAGAAGAGATGAATCTATTTCAGATTAATAACAACAATGAACTGAGTACAAGTATTTATACAGTTGGTTATAAGTCTAACTGACTACATAACAACCGGGTCCCCATCTAGTATACTGTTTAGGATAAACCTTCTAGTCTATTACATGATATGTATCTAACATTCCCCCCTCAAAATTAGGGTGATTGGTTTGACAACTCAATCACACTAAGTTTTGTTTTTAAATCAAGAAATCTGGAACTGGAGAGTGGCTTGGTCAGTATGTCTGCAATTTGATGAAGAGAGGGAATATGATAGACTTGGAGTTGCTTGAGCAGAACTTTTTCTCTGACAAAGAAAAGATCAATTTCCATGTGCTTGATCCTGGAATGCAAAACAGGATTGTGAGACAGTTGAACAGCACTGAGGTTATCACAGTATACTCTGGGAGTAGAAAAGGGGACTTGAAGTTCTTTTAGTAGAAATTGGATCCATAAGAGTTCTGCAGTGGTGTCTGCCAGACTCCTATACTCTGCTTCTGTTGAAGATCTTGCAACCCTAAGTTGTTTTCTTGACCACCAGGAAATGATGTTGGTTCCAAGAAGTATGCATGAGCCAGAAGTAGACTTTCTGTCATTGGGATCAGATGCCCAGTCAGCATCACAGTAGGCTGATATTGGTAGAGGTATAGAAGACAAGGAAATAGGTCTGATGACAATTCCATGATTTGCACTTCCAGAGAGATATCTGAGGATGTGTTTTACTGCATTCCAGTGCTCCTGCAGTGGTTCTGCCATGAACTGGCACACTTTGTTGACAGCATAGCAGATATCTGGCCTAGTCAAAGTTGCATACTGTAACATTCCAACAATGGATCTATACTGGGAAGGATTTGAGTAGTAATCACTGCCTTGTTTCTGCAGTTTGCAAGTGCTCACCATAGGTGTCATAACTCCCTTAGATTCAAGCATGCCAGCTTGATTTAGAACATCTCTGATGTACTTAGCCTGTGATAGGTGAAGACTGCCATCTGGGAGCTTGTGTGCCTCTATTCCAAGAAAGAAATCAAGCTCTCCCAAGTGTTTTAGAGAAAATGAGGAATGGAGTTTGTGAATGAGTTGAGTTATGGCTGCTGAATTGTTTCCTGTGACCAGGATATCATCAACATAGATAAGAATGTAAATTTGGACTGTAGAGGATAGATAGATGAAAAGGGAAGGATCAGATTTGCTTTGTTTAAAACCAGTAGCATAAAGAACTGAGGTTAGTTTTTGAAACCAAGCTCTAGGAGCTTGTTTTAAGCCATATAGTGATTTGTGAAGTTTACAGACCAGAGATGTGTCTTGAACTTCAAAACCTGGAGGTTGAACCATGTACACTTCCTCTTCTAGTTCACCATTCAAGAAAGCATTGTTAACATCTAACTGCTGGATGGACCAATTGTGTGAAATAGCAACGGTAAGTAAGATTCTGATAGTGATAGGCTTCACAACTGGAGAAAATGTTTCCCCAAAATCAAAACCAAACTTTTGATGAAAGCCTTTAGCCACCAATCTGGCCTTGAACTTATTTAGAGAGCCATCAGGGTTTTCTTTGACTCTGTAAATCCACTTGCATCCAATAGCATGCTTATCTGGTGGAAGAGAAACAAGAGTCCAGGTTTTATTAGCAATCAAAGCATTATATTCAGTATTCATGGCTTCAAACCACTGTGGAGAAGAGAGAGCCTGTTTAACTGATTTAGGCTCAATATGAGCCAACAGTAAGGTAGGATGAAGTCTTGGTTTTACTATGCCTGACTTTGCCCTTGTCCTCATGGGATGAGTATTGACAATAGGAACTGAAGGAGGTGTAGTAGTTTGGTGAAAGGAATCAGATGAAGAAGAATGAGGGTTAGGTGAGGAGTGTGATTGATGAGATGTGTTAGGAGGATATTCATGAGATGAGGATTGTGATTCATGAGAGGAAGATTGACTTTGAGTATTATTAGAGAGAGATGGATGGTGTTCATGAGATGTGTTTGAAGGGTGGTTTTGAGAAGATACAGAGTCAGCACTTGAGGATTCAGATTTAGATTCAGAGAAGCTGGGAGTTTGAATGAAGGTCTGAACACTAATAGGTGCAGAAGGATGATGTAGATGGAGGTTAGAAGAAGAGTCAGATGAAGTAGGTTTGAACAAAGTAGGATAAGGAAATTTGGTTTCTTGAAAAATAACATCTCTGGAGATGTAAATTTTCCCTGAGGATGATAAGCATTTATAGCCTTTGTGACTAGGTGAATAGCCCATGAAAACACACTCTTCAGTGTGAAAGTCCAGTTTGTGTTTATGATAAGGTCTGGTGAAAGGGTAGCAGGCACATCCAAAAACCTTGAGAAAGGTATAGTCTGGAACTGATTTATGCAGTTTGAAGTATGGACTGGAATTGGAGATTGACTTAGATGGTGTTCTATTTATCAGATGAACAGATGTAGCAAAAGCTGCATCCCAGAATTTAAGAGGCAGGTTTGAGTGAGACAGAAGAGAAAGGCCCTTTTCAACAATGGTACGATGTTTTCTTTCTACAACACCATTTTGATGGTGCGTATGAGGACAAATAACTTTGTGTATAATGCCTTTTTCAGTGAGAAGTTTAGTGAAAGACCTAAATTCACCACCCCAGTCAGATTGAATGGACTTTATTGAGGTAGAAAACTGGTTCAGAACATATTGAGAAAAGTTATTAAAGGCTGTAAGAGCATCTGATTTTCGTTTGAGAAAATAGATCCAAGTGTATTTAGTATGTGCATCAATGAATGCTATGTAGTAGTAGTATCCATCAAAGGAGGAAATGGGGGCTGGTCCCCATAGGTCTGTAAACACTAACTCAAAAGGATGGTTGTATTCAGTGGTGGAAGAATAGGAAGGTAACTTATGTGCCTTACCCATGCAACAAGCAGAACAAAAATCAATCTCCTTTTTATTGATGTTTGAAATATTACATTGCTGAAGAATAAGTTTCAGAGCCTCAAAGTGAGGATGACCAAGCCTAAGGTGCCAAAGATTACAAGTTGAAATAGGACTACAGGATTTGGCATTATTACAAGTAGATAACAAAGCATTAGACTTGGAACAGTGTGAAGAGAACATAGAAGTTTGGCTAGTAGATGTAGGACTTTGATGTGAACCAACAGCAGGAAAGGATTTGAATCTATAGAGACCATCTTCTCCCAGAATTCCATGTAAGAGGATTTGCTTAGAACCCTGAGATTTCACAAAGCAATCATAAGGATAAAATTCAAAATAGACATTGTTATCCTTAGCAAACTGACTAACACTGATCAGATTTTTGGTTATTGCAGGCACATGTAGAATATTTCTGAGAGAAAGAGAAATAGAGGACTGATAAGGGGAAGGAAAGGAAGTAAAACCAATAGACTTGATATCCAAACCTTGACCATTGCCCATAAAGAGTTTATCAGTTGTAGTAATAGGCTCACTATGCTGCAGGTTGAGGGGATCTGCAGTGACATGGTGAGTGGCTCCTGAGTCAGGAAACCAAGTTTGTGGATGAGGCCCAAGAATAGAAGTGTTGGCAGTAGGTTGATTTTGTTGATGAGTAGCAGTGGGTTGATAATGGTGTTGTGTAGGAGATGGTGAAGTATGGTATGATGATATCTGATCCCAGTTGAATTGTGGCTGAGGAAACTGTGACTGAGGATAGTTAGATCTTTGTGGAAAGATATTAGGATATGGTGGTTGAGGATTAGGATTGGGAAAGGTAGAATGTTGGTTATAGGAATTTGAGGGAGTGGAATTTGAAGCTGTGTAGGCTGGATTGTAGCGGTGATAGCATATCAATGCATGGTGACCTGGTTTTCCACAAACTTGACATGTGACTGAATAGCGACCTCCAGATCTTCCTCCTCTACCTCGGTTGAAACCTCCACGACCTCTTCCTCGATAAGAGTTAGGGTTTTCATTGTTGTTAAACTGAGCAAGTTGAATCGAAGCATTGTCTGGAGTACTTTCACTTGCAGATTGATTAGTTGTGGATGTAACCTCCAGACGAGCTACATTAGCAGACAATAGATTTGTTTGAGACGATTCACGAAGTTTCTGCAATCGTACCTCTTTGGCAGACAAAAGAGATTCGACTTCTGACAAAGTAGGAGGGTCGAGAATGCTACGAGAGGAAATAGATGATGCTAGAGATTCATATTCCTCCGGTAAACCTTCTAAAATAACATTGATGTGTTCCTTAGATGTTATCGGTTCGCCAATAGAGAGGAGATTATCAGCGATGGTTTGGATCCGTAGAAGGTACTCAGAAATGGTACGTTCACCTTTGGCAGTAGTATACAGTTCTGATTTCAACTGTCTGGCTTTCGCAACTATACTTGCTCTGAAGAACGTGTTGATCTCATTCCAGAGCTCATATGAATGACTGCAATGGATCACTCGTGCATGAAGCGATTCAGACAAGGATGCAAGCAACCACGAGAAGAGCATTTGGTATTGTTGTTCCCAGGTAAGATACAATTCATTTACGTTTCCAGCTTCTTCATCAGCACTGGAGAGAAATTGCTTCGGAATTTCTGGTTTGATGATAAACCGAAGGAGTTTGTGTGCACGAACGATTGATTCAACGTGATGCTTCCAAAACATGAAATTATTAGCATCAAGCTTGATCGGAAGTTGATGTGCGAAAGTAACGATGGAGGAAGAATTTGTGGAGGTAACAGAATCTGAGTTAGAGGACGCCATTATTGGATCGATCTAGAGCATGAGCTCTGATACCATAATAGAAGAAGAAGAAGAGATGAATCTATTTCAGATTAATAACAACAATGAACTGAGTACAAGTATTTATACAGTTGGTTATAAGTCTAACTGACTACATAACAACCGGGTCCCCATCTAGTATACTGTTTAGGATAAACCTTCTAGTCTATTACATGATATGTATCTAACACAGACTCAAAGGATTGGCTAATTGGGGCGACAATTCAGGCAAATACCAGCCAGCGTGAGCGCGTGACCGACTCCCAATGACAGAGCCAGGGGCAGATCCAGGAATGAAGGTGGGGTGGACTAAGCAGTAAAAAAGGTTTAGCGTATGGCTGTTATTGAATCGAGCTTTTTATACTACTCGAGTTCGAGCGTGTTTTCAAATTTAATTTTACGAACATAGTGATATTCGGTTCAATCCGAACTTCATCCTATCGATAAGTCATAAATTATAGGAATCAATTTTATATGTTTTAAAATTGAAATAATTACATAAATATGATCAAAATAAAAATGATTTACAAAAATATGACTAATGACTAGAGTAGTAATGAAATCATAGTAATTCATGTTTAAGTTTTGAGCTTAAGTTACCACAACACCACATTGTAGTAATGAATAGTCATATTTATGTAAATATGACTTATTTTAGTAATATTCTTGTAAAAAACTCTTTAAAATTTAAACGTTTTTAGTGCGCTTTTATAAATTTATCAAGGATGATTAAAGATTCTACTATTTAGGGTATGAATTAAAATACTTCTAATAAAACTAATAAGTAAAAAACAAACGTTGTACAAAATATTGATAAGTATTCCCGATTTCAAAAGTCAATTGAAAATTTTAATTCTTTCATTAATGTCCACACAATGAATAAATCATTCTCGAATCTTCAATTGTATAATAAGTAAATCATACACTAATATTCAATTGTAAATAAATCATTCTATCTTTAAAACTTTTGTCAAGAAAAAAACTTCAATCATTATAAATTTATAATTCATAAACGCTGTTTCATTATCTACTCAAAAAATCAATTAATAATCAAATACAATTATAAAATTAAAAAAAAAAGACATTAAAAGAGCATTAGAGATTTAGAGTATACCTGGAGAGTGGAGATTGGAGCAGTGGAGTTGGAGGGCGGGAATCCGAAGTCTACGGTGGCACGGCTGGAGAGTGGAGACTAGAGTGCAGAGTGCTGGACGCCTGGACTGCGTTGGGACGGAGAGACCTGGACGGGTGGACGACAAGCGGTGTCGCAGCGGCGCGGCTGGTGACCGCAGGTTGGCTGATGTTCCGTGCTCAGTTATTCGTGTCTTCCATCTTCGTCACAGGCTTGCAGCTCGTCTTCTCGCAATCTCGTGCTTCGCAGTTCATAGGAGCCAACAGGCCGCAGGTTCGGTATTGAGTAATAAGTCCACGGTGGGCTGGACATGTTGTGGTGGGCTGGACGTGAATTTTAGGGTGGATTGGCCATTAAATATATACCCATAATTATAAAATCAAAAACAAATGGGCTGGCCTGGAGCCATCCCCTGCCCTCATAATGATCTGCCCTTGGATAGAACTACAGCCTACAGACATCGATGGGCAATCGAAATTTGCAAGGTTGAAGTTTTGTGACGAGCTTCGATGTCGACGTAGACATCGACTTGGACTAGCGGTCATTCGTTATTTGGGCCGTTTTTTTATAATATGGGACCGATGTATGAGCCTGTCTCACATGTATTATCATTTCGTGAAAATTTCACAAATAAACCAAATAAGGAAAATAATATAACTTTTATCAATGTTAGATTTTGTTTTCAAAAATAACCTACGTAAGATTTTTTTTTTCAAAAATAACCATATATAACCGACAAGCCTTTAACAAAATTAGAAACACACGGCTCGATATCGTCCAAAGTTGGGTATCCTCCTCAGCGCAAGGAATTTGTCTGCGAAGTCGTTTTTGACTGTGCAAAGTTCAATCAATCCTAATTGAAGTGAACTATTCTATCCAAAACATTGATCTAAGTCTTTCATACGAACAAATGTTTAATATAAACAATGATCATATTCAGTTTTGATCAGTTGTACAGAGTCTATATCGAATCAAACATCGAGGTCAGATTATTAGAATTTCTATACTTTTTTAGTGTTTCCCATATGATTGAATTTAGGAATGTAAGTTTTGTTGTCGTTTGTTGATCAATTGATAATACGTGATATGTTCTAATTTTATTTTTGTTGATCATTATTGGTTAATAAAATAAATCAATATTGTTTTTGTTTTTGGAGATTGCACTACTTTGTACATGTACTCATACTTAAATAGAATGATATGTGTTGTGAATAACCGGAAACATGGGGACAATACCTGTTTTTGTTCATCACGGTGGTGACTGGTGATTGGGATGAGGTAATGGGATATGTTAACTTCAATGTTTTGGAATTAATTGAAAAGGTAGCGGATATAGGATTGGAATAGAAACAACATCAACCTCATTGATAATGCAATACAAAGCCAGAGAGAATTATCCACTATTGATTATACAAGATAACTCGGTGATGTTGTTTTATTTTCTCGTAGATAAACAAGAGACATATGAGACAAAATTTCCTCTATGCATCATAATTGCTTATGTACAAGAAGAAACAAATTGCAACATGTTTCTTATTGGACATCAACAAGAAGAAACAACACATGGGATACAAGCAGGCACACTGTCTGAAGACATCTCAACAATCAGTGCAGAGATCAACATTAATGCTTATATATTATCGTTTTTCCAAAGGCAACTTGAGTGTGGAAGATTTGTCTAATTGCTTAGTCTCGACTTTGGATCTCCAAAGATGGTATTTTTTTTAGTTTGAGTTTTCATAGTATTTTAGTAAGCTCATAATACAGCCTCACAATATAAAGAGTGTAGAAAAAGGAAATGAGAAGAAAACTTTAGGTCATCCAAAAAGGAAAATTGTAAAAAAAAAAATGGGACAGAAGGTTTAGTCCCAATTTTTATGCTAATAAGGAATGAAAAATATTAATAGTCAAACTTGTGCATTGGCAAAAATGAAAAGTAGACCGTTGCAATTAAAAAAGAACGGAAGAACTATAACTATATACTAATAAAATTATGATGAATTGGTATTTCACAAATATATAATCCTTCTGTATTTGAATAGTTCTTATGCCAGGCTTTTACGGTGTATAAAAAGAGTAAAAGTGTAAGGGTATTGTATAGTGAGAATGGAGAAAGAGAGGGTATGCAAAGGTAAGGACAATTATGACCGTAATGACTTCATCAAGCTCTTACAACGACAACATCCAAGCTTTATCAAGGTCTTATTTTCTAAAAAGGGTGAGCAAGAAATATTTGAAATTTTCATTAAAAGAGAATTAGAACAATTATTTGAATAAGGAGAGAGTGTTAAAAAAAGTTGGTCACGGGGTCATTCATATTATAAGCTAACAAATTTCTGAAAAATGATGCTCAAAGCAAAAAGAATTTATTTAAAAGTTCAAGCATTGGAGTTTATTTTGGGATAGAAGGAGTTAATTTTTGAAACCCTTCCTACCCAAAAAAGAAAAGGAAAAGGTTAATAATAATAGCATTAAATCAAATTTTTACCTCCTGGTTGAAGCAGTCGAGTTCCCTGGATAAGATTTGCCTTTCCTTTCTTGTTCAAGTTTTGCTTTCTCCAGCTCTGTAGCCTGGACACACTCAACATCAACAGGATGATCAGCAAGTGAGATGGTATCATGGTCGTATGAGAAGAAGAACAAAAAGGGGTGAGAAATTGAACCTTCAGTGAAAGTGAAACAACATGTGCAAAGTTAACATTATTGTGAGGAACATGACCTTGAGGAGTCATAGCACCAAAATAATCACATACATCCCATAGAGCTAAATTAATACTTCATTCGTCCCAAAAATTATGTCCCTTTTTCATTTTGGGATGTCCCACTTATGATCTCATTTCCAAGAATGGATTAAGCTAAGTGACAAAAACAAAGATGTTTTTCTAAACATAAAGATGCTCTTTTTTTAACTTATGTGCAAAAAGTGTTTGGATCATTATCTCCGGATGGAGAGGGTAACATATACTTCCTCTGTTCGGTTTTAAGTGCAACATGCACTTGGGCACTGAAATTAAGAAGCAAGGAAAGGATGTTTAACTTGACTTGTTTACCCTTCGTTATACGGAAACAAGAGCACCACAAATAAAGTGATAGTGTGTAATAGTGGACAACAAAATGACAACCAAGAAAGCAAACAGTAAGTATCAGGCACAATTATGCAGTACACTTCCATGGAAAAACCAAAATTCCACAAAAATTCCCTCAAGGAAGAACAACAGGAAGAAGGATGATGAGAAACGAGAGGTTAGATGATTTTCGCAACCTACTTTCCCTTTAATTTCAGAAATGGTTTGTCGAAGTACAGGTCTTCAAGTACTGAAGTGGTCCGCCGAAGCTGATTACAAACGATTCCAAGTCAAATCAGATTCCATGGTTTCTATCTGGGATTATTCCCTAAATAGGACTAAACAAATCATTAATTGCTAGAATAGGAGTAATATTTAATATTTTCCAAAATAGGAGCTATTTTTTGGAGTTTGACATAAATACCCTGAAGCTTGTCAAAACAGGACACCGGACCTCCACCGGCCGCCAGCCGCCGATCGCTGGCCGTCGGTCACCGGTCGCCGGAGAATGACCGCCACTACACATCTCGTTGCCACAGATCTGGCCACCATCACCGTAGATCTAGCTGCCTCTGTCTTAAATCAAATCGTTGCCGCAGATCCGGCCGCCGCCTATGCGGATCCGGCCTCCACCAGTGCAGTTCTCGCAGTCCTTGTCACTGATGCCAACAATATTATACGAATGCCAATATGAATAAAAATTTCCATATTAATGGCATTTTCAAAACAAAAATGTCATTTTTGAAGAGTTAAAATGCCAATTTAATGGCATTTTTGAAGAGTTAAAAGGCCATTCTAATGGCATTTTTTTAAATAAAATTTGGCATTTTTAAAAAAATCAAACGAAATGAAGATGTGCATCAAGTGTATGCCATCTTCGATTGCATCTGAAGTTACGAAGAGAGGGAAAGAGAGAAATGGAATAGAGAGGAGGTATTGAGGAAGATGGAGAAGAACCAAGAGGCAGAAAGAACAATGTGCCTAATTTACAAACAGATCTGAACTTAAGGACGCCGCCGGCCGTTGCTCAACGCTTGCCGCCGCTCCTTCACCGCTCGTCACCACAACTTTGCCGGTCTCCATCGCTCACAATTGCTCGCCGCTGCTGCTCGTTGCCTCTGTTCGTCACATTGAAGTGCTCCCTGAGGCTGAGTTGCGCAGGTACGATAGATAACAAAGAGGTGCGCATGTGTGAGTAGAAATAAGGAAGGGTGTTGTGATAGAATTAAATGGGGGGGTAAATGAGTACAATAATCCTATTTAGGGATTAGAAATATACTTACTCCCATTTAGGAATATAAGCAACGATTTAATCCTATTTAGGGCAAAAAACTCTTTCTATCTCCTTGATTGACTCACACAAAGTCTCTAGCGTATTCTCGTAACATGAGCAAAATCGATTTCATCTCCCCATCCAAGTCTTCCATTTTGAAGGTAATTAAAATACAAATCAGAGGGGAAAAAATCAAAGAGGAAGATGACAGGGGAATACTCTTTGACGGTAAAAATGGTTACGTAGGTGATGAAAGTAGATTATGGTGGGTGGGTGAGCAGATGGAGAATACCGAGTCGGAAGAAGATGCTCTACGTAGGAGTGAAATGGGTGGGCGGTGGTGGGTTTCAGAAAGTAAAAGAAAGTGTGAGATGGTGGAAATAATTATGGGTATATAAGTCAATTGGTTTAGTATTTCCTTCCCAAAATGGAAATGTTGCATTTAATTTGAAACTGCCTAAAAAGGAAAGTGTTTCACTTATTTAAGAACGGAAGAAATATGTTATAAGATTTGTGTTACATACACTTTGGACATCAACTTTTTTGTTGGACATTTCAGCATCCATTTTGGAAGCTTCAGTTATTGGAGTCGGGTAACACATTGAATCTGGGAGCACTTGGTATGTGATGGGCTACAATAGAAACATCACCAAATATGCCAATCACTAGATATTTCATGGGGTTCATGGGCATGCTCACTGTAAGTTACATCTTCAATGATAAGAGCCCTTCCAGAATGAGTTGAATGTCCATCCTTCACCTCAATTGGAATCTCCCTTCAGTTTTTGTAAACCTTGAACCACCACCAAATATATTGCGGGTGAAGTTAGGTTCAAGAAGAGAAAACATAATTGAGCTTAAAAGAAAAATGGCAATACATCTGTCACGCCCCGGACCGCATCCGAGCCACGTAGAC